TGACACATGCTATGCGAAAATTAAGTTACTCACTGAAGAACTGAGTAAAGTTGAACGTAGTGATTCAGTGTTCATGCGTTCGTTAAAACGCCGAGACGAAAGAAAAACTTAGCAACAAAAATCACCTAGTGTTTCCACAATCAGAGATACATCTTGGCGCAGACACAAACACGCAGTCCATTTCAAAGCGTCGTCGATAAAGATCGTTTACTTTTGCATCGCGCTCGTTCAAGCAGGGCCCTCACCTGTTCTTGGTTTCCCTCACGAGTTTTCATGGTTCTTCTTCTAACTGCTGTTCGCGCTTAAAGTTCAGCGTTATAGCTAAATAATGATCTATTGACACGTTCGAGCTGTCGCAGACGTAAACTATCTTCGAGCGTGATATGAATATCTCTTCACTGAACGGCGTCGTCCGTCCATTACTATACCACGTCTATGCGGTACAATATCGCTTACCATATCGAACTGCTTACCATGAGTAACAATTAAATAGGATGTATTATAAATACATTTTTCTGCATAACTATTATTTAATTATAATGTTATTGTACAAATTTGGATCATGTTAATGAAATTTAAGAATGTACTACGTCGAAATGAAACGAAGTTAACCAACTGTTTACTAAACCTAGTTGCTTAGTTCTCTGGACCGCTCTATACGCGTTATACTGTTTATGTTTTGCCTAAATTCCTTCCGGTTACGGGTAACTTGATCAACAAGTTCATATCAGTCAGTTACTGGTTTCTTTATTACCTTCCCGCTGACCGGTATATGGCGGACATTTATTGATATTGGCTTCAACGGAACTAAAGATGACTTTTCCTTAAAATCCCAAAGCAAAATAGAACTTCCGGCAGCCGCTGAAAGCAAATGTCGACAAACTGTAGCTTCTGATGATTGTAAATCATTCGACCTACCCCGAAGCTAGATGCACTAAAGAAACACAAGGCTGTAAACAGTTGTTTAACAAAGGTCAGTCAGTCAGTGAAAGTGTTATTGTAAACGGTTTGATCACATGCGTGTAATTGCCCAAACAGTGGGAAAAAAATACTGATCCCGCGTAAAGTCAATGCCAAGAACGAGCAAGACCTATTTGACGTCAGCCGTCATCACAAAACACAGTCAAACCTGCATAGACCTCAACATAGGCAATTTTTAGATTTTGGAGAGATCCGAGGAAATCCTTATCAAGAAGCTTCGTAAACACAGTGAAATGATGCACGCAGATTTTGACGCGATTCGTCGGGAATATGAAAGTTCAAAAGAGGCAACAATTATACACAAACTGATTTTGTAAAGTATGGCAATATTTGATTTTACGAGTTTTCGGCGGCTCGAAAATTTTAAGCACCTCAGACAGAAATTCTTCCATGCCCAACCTACAACCCACACCTTATCTTAATAACGTCGCGATTGGTTAAATGCATGCAACACTATGTAGCCTCTTTCACAAACCGACCTGTCCATCTGTTGCTTGTGGAGAAAGGTCTAGTAAAAAATCATTTTTAATAAACGAACAAAAATTCGTACCAGTAAAAAAAAAACTTTTTCATGACTTAACCTGTTCGTATATCTATAGTAGGTCAGTATACCGTAATATTAGTAGGTCAGAAAACCCTCTTTCATAAAACCCTACAGAACCCAGAAGAAACTCGTCAGCAGCGAGTGGTGAAGAAAGAACCTTCGTTTATGTAATCAATTGAGGAAAATACTGTTATATCCAGTGCCGAAGTGTCGCCTATCTTCTATGTAGACTCATGAATCGAAGAAACACAGACCAGCTAAGAAATTAAGTAAAACAATCGCTGCGAGGTATTTGCCCGGTATTTTGCAATCGGTTCTCAAAGATTGTTGGCCTCACTGATCGGAGTTGATTCATACGCATCGGGAATACCTACAGTAAAGGTGTTTTGTCGCACACAGAGAAGTTGTCGGTCTCTAATCGTCTACGCATTTGTTCACTAGAACATTGTTAGAATGACCCGCTGAACCCTGCTAAATACAGGCATCCCTTCAGCAAACACTATTAAAAGATAATGGACTACCATTTGCTTGTGACGGTTATATGTAGCTACTCATTCATTGAAGAAAATTAAATGCGAATGATGAAACAGGGGTACGTCTCATATTCCCGTATACTAATATTGGTACAAGCGTTTATCAGACGTACCCCACAAGCGTTTATCAGACGTACCCCTGTTTCATCATTCGCATTTGATTTTCTTCAATGAATGAATAGCTACATATAACCATCACAAGCAAATGGTAGTCCATTATGTTTTCTAGCGTTTACTGAAGGGATGTCTGTATTTAACAGGGTTCAGCGGGTCATTCTAACAATGTTCTAGTGAACAAATGCGTAGACGATTAGAGACCGACAACTTCTGTATGCGACAAAACACCTTTACTGCAGTATTCCCGACGCGTATAAATCAACTGCGTTCAGTGAGGCTAATAGTCTTCGAGAACCGATTGCAAAGTACTATTTAGCAATAGTTTAGTCATACGTATGTTGTTTTTTGAAATAGAGGGCTATATTATGTCCAGTACCCCTCTCATTGAACAAAGACTTGCTTGCCTCTGCGAAGCGTAGAAACGGCCTCGCCAGCAGCTGGGTCAATTGTGGGTTGAGCGAGACGAATAATCGCGGTTTCTACCCATACGACCCTTGCGTCGATGGTAAAGCTGCTCCATACCCTTTCTTACTTCCTACAATGATAAGCTGCCAGAGTTCAGCCGCAGTTGGTAGGCACCTCTAAGCAGTGATCCCCAACACCCGATCCACAGCGCCATCATACCAGACAGTTCTGGCCTGCCGCGGTGTTCAGCATCCGGACGACCCTTCGCAGGGAGCACGGCGGCAACCACAGCGCGATCGAGCATAACCCCTTGTAGAGATAGGAGGAAAGGGGCGACGAACGGGATCAATGGTCAGTTGAAGGTCCCAGCTTATATAACTCCCCGTGCCCCTGCTCATTCGAACCTATTGGGACCCCTAACCCATGGCGGTAATATGGGCGATGAAGACGACGATGAGAAAGATAATGATCATGACGGCGCTACATGGTATAACCGAGTTCGTAGCATATATGTGTTACGGATTGGGGCAGTGGGTTAGAAGGAGCGTCGGTCGTTGCATTGCAAATAGAAGAAAGAAGCAAAAGGAAAAGCTGGGGTCCTGGGAGGTGCAGGGATATGGAAGGGAGATGGAAAGGGATTGGTCTAAGCGAATGATGTTATACCATGGATATCGAGCTGGGGAAGCGGGATATAAGAATGCACTGCAAAAAGATCTAGAAAACCAGAGTCAAAACGGGCCATAGAGAGGAAGCCAAGGCGTGAGAGATCGGTCGACGAGACTGGGCCAGACTATACTATGCTACGTGTCGCTATCGGGCTGCTGGTGTACGGGAAGCATAATGCTGGCTACACGAAAGCAAGCCGGTATGGCAGCTGGAAACGGGACGGATGGGTGTCCAACACCACGCGGAAAAAGGAGAATTAATGAGGAAATTAATTATCCATAAGCTATTATTAAACGGACATGATGCAGGGACGATGTGCCCCCCGCCGAGACCGTTTGCCTCTGCTGTTGCCGATGTTGCTGCGCTATCTGTCTCATTCTGGAGGGAAACCGATCAGGCCATTTCCATCGTCATTGCTCCCCAGAAACGAGATGGGGCAAGTGGAGGAGGAAAACGCGTACAAAGGATAGGCTAACGGTGAAGACAAAAAAGAGACTGCATCTTGCTTCGAATGTGCGCACTTCGCAAGCCCCTAACGCCACACAGCCAGTGAACGCACCAACGAAGCCTCACGCACCAGTTTGCTGTCGTTCACCGAGAGGCACTGGCGTGACAGGAGTGGGATATAAGTGAAGTCTAAATATCTAAGGAGAGAATCTCGACTCCGCTGCAAGGGACTAGCATTGGCCGGGTTCAATGGCGAACGAATACAGGCTAACGTAATGAAGTCCATGGGATAGTTAGTCCAGTATTAGATACTGCGCCCACAAGCCTGGCCCTCACGCATGCTGTCTGAACAGACCTTCCAAACTTTGCTGGGTGCTGAAAAGCAATAGGAAAGCAAACGAACGCCTAGGTAGGATCGAAATTTCCGGACACAAGGCTGTTTTATACAGTGCCCTCTTTTTATGAACTACCCTATTCATCCACCTGCTAAGCAAATACACATTTCTTTCCGCTTTTGAGACAGCGACGTCCCGTTATTTTTCACGAATCTAGACCCGTGCATTTTTACGATCGTCTCCCCCGCCTTATCTCGTGGATTTCATGCAGAAACACGCTGCCTTGTCAGAGACTGCGCCCGTGCATTGTTATCCGGCTTTTTTGAAACAACATGTGGTAGGAGATTTAGTTTTAGAGGCTGTGGCCTATGCGTTATAGCTACATAAGAGATTGTTTTATGCTCGTGCGGGTTATGATAGTAAATAAGAATTGATGGTCATGTAAATAAAAACATTTAAATTAAAAGCCCAGTTGGGATGAATGAAAGTGCTCAGCAGGAAACATTCCCTAGCCAATATTAGTGCGGTCTTGTATCACTCTATTGAGAAAAGGCTTTAAATAATGCTTAATCGTTTTTTTTTCCTTAGGATACAGAACGTCGGAAGCAAAAAGCCTCAACGAGTAATACAATGCATATTCTCTAAATATAAAAAGAAATACTAATATATTGCGATAACAAGCACATCAAAGCAACTGTTTTCTATGTCGTACCTCTAGCTCTTGAGATTAAGAAAAATTAGATACACAGTGAGTCCGGCGGAAGAGGTATGATGTTTGGAAACTCGGCTGCAGCACCAGAATAGTTATATCAATGAATGCAGAAGGTCTCGTGCCCAACGAGAAAGCGCAGCAGATCGACTTAGGTAGTTTGAATAGTGTTGAAGTTGCGTGGCTATCATTTACCTCCGGAGTCGATTGCGCTTTTTCTAATATCTATACCGTTTTATAGTAAATTTCGCGTTTAAATTTTTCTCATTTATTCAAGTAGGTCATTTGTTCCCGTGACTCATACCAACCAAGGGGGCATCCACAGTAGGGCGGCATTTTCAATCGCTGTAAAGTGTATTGTTGACAGCTGGAGTGATTTAGTGGAAAGCCCACCCATGTTAAACTATGAAATAAATATGTAAATTGTATTTTTCATTAATGATTAAATTTAAATTGCCATAATATTATAAGTCGATGCAGACGCCAAAGAGAACCATCTAGTACCATAGCAGCATTATTAAGTAAGATGTAGTGTAGGACATCGGTAACTGAAAAATCGATACCTTCGATTAAACGACTCTAAAAGCTTGTACGCACTGTAATCAAACCTCGAACAATAAGCTCACCATGGTTATTTATGGTTACATTTTAGATCCGTCTTTCTTCGTTGCATTATGACGGTAAACTCAATGTAGCGCCAACATCAATTGCATAGTCAACACTTCCGGACACCCTGAGCTATGTTGAACGAACAGCGATAGTTAGCGTCAAGGTCCGTTATTATCAGGCTGTTCCTACGATGAAAAATGTTTGTTTAACTCAGATCGCTTGATTCTTTCACTGGAGTAGAACCTTCCTGAAGGAGTGATTTATGATTTTTGCCATAGCACACTATTTATTTATATAAATTAAGTGAGACGAACAATAGAAGTTCTCGAAATTCAAGACAATGTTTAGCCTCATCGAACGTCATCAAAAAACGACTGAATAGATCTAATTTGATTCTGGTCTCTACAGACTCAAAGCAAGTTCCATAATTCTATGAATCGTAAGTTCAGTAATTAATGGGTAGCTTTAATAATAGTTATTAGGCACAGATGAGTAGTCCGGGTACTCGAAACTTTTTTTCAACCTTAATAGTTTTTTCGATACTTCGAGAGAGCTACAGTTTTAAAATTTACTTATCGGTTAGATTACAATGGCCCCGCATACACTGTTATGAGGGCTTATTTTTTCTGTTGTTAAAGTTGCAACACAAGACTACGTCTTAAGAGAAAGGAGCAAACGGAATTATGCTTACATCGATTTGACGACTTAACAGAGTGCTTCCTGAACCCTACCAAATACTGTTCGCTCTGTCTGCACACTCCGTGTATTCCACTTTTACCACTTGAGATAGTCACGAGGCTCTCTGATTCTCCCTTTCGCGGCAATTATAGCATTGCATTTTATCCCTAGGTAGCAGTCTATAAATACGCCCCTGCAAAAGATCGTTTGCTATTAGGAAGCTATGGTATTGCACAACTCATCAGTTATTTGTGATTGCATCCGTTATCGGATAGCTCGTTTTTTACGCATCTTTTATTTGACACACTTGATGTCGAAAACTAAAGTAAAGGTAAAGTCTCTGATAAATTATTGACTGAATAATTTCGAAAAGTACGGCGATCGTCCGCTAGGTGCTTGATGTTATTGTATATACAGCGCTTCAAAATTATTCTTGTAGTCGATAAATAATGACCCGAGTATTTCAGGTGGTTTTGGGAGCTGGCGCGTGAAATAATGGCCTAAAAAGACTTCTCAAACAGAGCCGTGTTATGTGATGCAGTTTGGGTGCAGCACGATGCTTGTTCGGTGAACGAGGCACCACAGACCTGAGACGTAAGAATTGCGGGTTTGAACTTTAGCATGTGAAGTCTTGAGCTTGTGTAGAGAAGCGATGAGTTATGAGGTCGGAGCGAGAGTGAAACCTTGAGGGAGTTTCTGATCTGCCGCGTCTTTAAACTAAAATGCGTGTTTAAAAGTTTCAGTAAAAAGAGTTTAGCGGTACTTTCCAGTTCAAATCCAGTAAATCGATTTTCTATCATAAATATGGAATTTACTTGAACTAGAACTATTAATAGTCGTTGAAATTTTCTATGGTAATAGAATTAGTAAAAAAATGTTTAGGTTTGTTTAAAGAAATATATCTTAATCATCAGACAGAAGGATGCATTTGAAAAATAGAAGGAAAAGAGACTTACTGAACCGAAGTCTAAAAAGCGGAGTAGTGAGATTTAGCGATACGTAAATGCGATCTGATGAAGTGCGTCTGAGAAAAAACCAACCCGCCTAAAAAAACAACCTGACTATTTAATAAGATTTAGCTGAACTAGTCATTGAGTTGCTATATTTACAATTAAAAGTTGGCTTTTCGAACTGTTTTTGAAATTTTTTAACGTTAACTATACATATTATTACTATTTCCACTGCTCGTGTACATTATTTTTTTGTAAATACACTATACCTAAACTATTGTGTCTGAACCGGCAGTTAGATTTGTAGAAAAGGTACACAAGCGGGATAATACATGAAAATGCTAAAGATTTTACTGAGTTTGCTACAATTTCGGGGAACGCTGTAGAAATCGAGGTTCAAAATGGTGATCTGGACCAAACCCTGTATAAAAAAAACCTACAGAATGTAGAGCTAATTTTTGGAAGATTCTAAACCCCTGTGGATAAGAATAAAGGTACCGAGAGGTTTCAGTTTTTACAAAAAAGAATCCTGTTGATTAGGAAGTTTGCCATGACTAATTCTCATGTATTCCTTCAGGGCCGTCTTGCTGTCTACATTTTCGATTACGCAGATTAGTTTAAAAAGGTTCATTCAAAGTGTGATATATTGTGGAGTTTAAAGAATGTATAATTTGGAATCTGCATTGAATTAACAGGATCCTATGAATCCTATGAGATTCAGAGGTGCGGTCCCCCGCCCAAGAAAACAAACCCCTCAGGCTTTAAGATTTTTGCGTCAAGGAAACTAAACATTGGATACATTAAACAACTTTGTGTGGAATGGAAAAGACTATTGAACAGGTGGTATTAATATTTTTTAGTATATGGTCTGTGTGTTCTCTAAACCTTCCTAAGTTTCGGCTCACTCTTTTTTAAAAGCACTATTATGATTTACGTTATCTTCTATATGTCTATAATTTTTTGAAGTTGAAAAAATGTTCTAGTCACGATTAACGGCTATGTCCCGAGGCCTAGCTCCGAATAATCAAACATCGATATCTATTCGAATCCTCAGATTGCACACGTCTATAGACGATATGTGTTTTTGTCTTTTACTTAAATCAGTGACGGTCTAGTTTTTTCCAATCCGCATTAGTTAACGGGTGAACAAATATCCTTTTTAAGTCTATATAATTACATTAGCAATATCCGTCACGGTTAGAGAACGCGAACCTTGAATCGTACTGTGTGTTCGCATTTAGTCTAAACAAATCTTGGCATACAAATCACTATTTTTTTCCAGAATGATTGTTTTCATCATTTACGTCCACATGAGTTATTATGACAAGGCACGTAAGAGTCTGAAGGTGCATTTGTCAATCTTTGATGTGTTGCGTTTTCACGCTTATCTGAGCTATTCTAGACCTAAATTCTCGACGTGTACTATCCTCTGCCATTTAAGGTCGTTAGTATACGCGTTAACTAGAATCATATACCAAATATTGCATCTACGAGAGTTTCGGCGCATTTATTTAATTACAATGACATATTATTGATACAAGATTTGATCAATGTAGAAATTTGACGGAGAAACCAAGTACTCATACATATCGTGTAATGTCTATCACTTCTTCTTAAGGCTCCGAAAGCAAGTCAACAATACACAGATGCCATGAATATTCTAGGACGTCGACAAAAAATGTGTCCTTGAAGTGTTTCTAATAAACCATCAGTCTGTGTTGATGGCCTGAATGTATACGTTTTTATCTGTTCAGGCTATTTCTTTGCGCACGATTATATAGTTCGTATAATACATAATTAATAACTGACTACCCACGCAGATTGATATAAAACTGTAATGCTTTTGGATGAGGGAAAAATACGCGCAAGGCCGTTCTATCACAATGTGAACCCTGTGGAGTCGGAATCATACAGTAAATGCAGACATACATTTCCTTAGTCGCAACTATTAAACGTTAGAGAAAGACAAAAACCGATTCGCTAGAGAGGATGTGTTTCAATTTTGTATCTTGCTAAAAAATACTGAATTTTGTCCCGGATTTCCCTGAATTTTTTCCCGATCCTGGCCTCATTCTGGCTTTTTAGGACCTGTTTAGGTTTTCATTGAACTTTCTCGGTATATTCTATTTTTTGGAGCGTCCAAATCACGTCAATTATAAGTTGCCATTTATAATATTTATATAAGTTTATGCTCCGCTTTCGACAAATGGTGTCTAAACATCAAAAAGTAATAATAATAATAATAATAATAATGTATTTGTGTGTGCGTTTACATATAAGCAGTAATATTTCAACTGCTTGAGGTCAGTCTTTACGGTGTTATTTGGTAGAGGCGTCATCCCAAATACAGTTCTAGTTTGACCCTTGAAAGTTGTGCGATGTAATCACAGCCATAGCTTGTAAATCTGGTAATAACATCGCGGTTTGCTATTACATTACTATCTCTAGTTCTTATAGATCGATTGTTTTAAATGCTAGCATAGGATACGTTCAGCCATACAATGCATACGTTTTGCCGTTGGCCTAAAACATTTAGACACAGTCCCGGAGGAAACATAATCCCATAGAGTCAATAATGAGGCAACAAGGCTCTGAGCCGCGCAGGCTGATGATCGTATTTGGACAACGTCTGTTTAGGAATGTATTGACCTAAATAGCTTCAATTATAAATGGAGTAATTTTTTCCGTGAGTACTGTTCCGTATTTACTGAATAAGATTATAATTACTATACAATATAGTAGGTAACAAAATTACATTATAGTAGTTGCTTATTTAGAAAAGTATTGGCTAGAAACTAATTTCACGCTGTAAATTCGCTAAAAAAAATAGATACTTACGTGAGATATTAGAATTACGTTTACGTTTCTGTTAAGGAGTTGTTTGCTTCAAGCACATTCGTTCTTCATATTATTATGACAAATAAAATAGAATAATAAAAACAACTAATTTATTTATGAAGGAAATCGGCTCTACTAATAAAAAGTAGAGCAAAAAGGATAGACTGCATTTTCGAACCATACAACCATGCAGTACGGACAAACAAGCATATAAACTCTATCGACATTTCGGCTCTGTGAGATATTGCAACCTTTTCTTTATTTTTGGCGGGCATTTTTTATCCTTGTGGCAATTTTTAATTAGTTTTTTAATTGTTAATCAATTAATGACCAGCTAGAAAGCTACTCAACCTATGAATTACTGTTAAATTCCATTCATAATCATATAAAAATTACCTTGCTCTGGCGATAGATTTTATCGCTCGCCTGGCTGTACTTGTAAATGTACAATACGTATATATCGAGCCTAAGTTGAGCGTGTAGAGTTGAAGACATAGCCATTAGAATGAAGCGCAAGAGCAACAATTTGTACCAACTTAGTCATGATGGAATTGGAACTAGTTTCACCCGATACTGCACGCACGACAACCGGTGCGAGAGGCACGTAGCATAGAAATTACATGCTTTGTTTTTGTATTTGCGTTCATAAGATACACACTCTCAAACAAGAAAAATACCTTCCAGGTACCAGGTCCACCTGTCGTGTTAACAGATATCCAATTACTATAGGTTGCTCAACTTAACCTATACTCAACTTCTTTATACATGTTACAGTTAAAAAATTCAATATTGTGTTTACCAACACCACGCTAGAAAACAGAGCGGTTTTCTAGCGTGGTGTTGGTAGTATTTAGATTATTAAGGTATATAAAATGTATGATTAATCCAGCGAGGGCAGGAAGACTGTATAGAGGGGTTTGGACACTAAAAATTAAATGTACAGCTATGACTTTTTTTTTTATTGTCGATGGAAAATTTTACACCGCGTCGATCATACATCGTTTAAACGGCAGTTGCAAAGATCTCTGCCTAGTTCAAACAGTATATTCGATATGGCTTTTGCAATCAATAAATGACATCCTGCAGATATATATATGTACTAAAACGTTTAATTGCTAGATGTTTATGTGTGTTATTCTACATGCTTATGGCTTTTTCTACGCAGACGTATGCGGTGATTTTATAAGCCAACTGTTTTATTTGATATTCTGTGCCCTGCCGGCCCTAAAATAAAATTTAATCGGCGTCTTTCGAACTCAGATCGGGGAAAGCAGAGTCCAAAGCATTATTATATTGAATCTAACCGCAATCAGAATTTGTTT